AGACTTATGTCTTGGGCTTTGAATTCACTAAGTAATTAAGGAAATGGGCCCTTGAAAAGCAAATAAACATAAAACCCAATACTAAGCCCAAAATTAAAGTAAAACATTTATTTTAACTACTTAACTCTTGAGCTCTAAAAACATTACAAATAAAATATAATAACAAACAATAAATATAAATATATTATAAAAACCTATATAAATTTAAGTGTAAAAATATGTTTGTCACCTCTCTTTCTTTTTTGGTACAATGTTTTTCTTTTTGATTGATTCATAATATATGCCAATCTTAATTTCCTTTTTGCCATTATATATATATATATATATATATATTCTGAGATGATATGATATTTATAGGGCTACAAATATGTGGAAAATTGAATAAATTATTGATTGTATTTTTCTTACAGTAATGTTACACGTTGTCACGAATATTTTTTCCTAACATACATTATATGACTTATTATGGTTATTTTATTGGATTTTTACTGTTTTTTTTTTTTTGAAAGATACTGGCTCTATTACAATGTAGTATTTGTTCCTTACTGTTTAATGATTAAGAGATCGAGTTCTATATTAATAGTGATGCGATGTTTTCATTTTAAATTTACTTGTTAATATATTATCATCTTGACATGTAATTACATATTTACATTTCTTTATAGTTGGTTATTAAATGTATTAAAGTCCAGCAGCGCCTTCTTTGGTGCTATTTTGTGCTAATCTAAACAAGAGTCCACAGAAATGTTGATATTTTTCTAAATTTATTAATTCAACAAATTATATGAAACTATTAAAATTTACTTCGTAATAATTAACGTATAAATATATTTTTGTGCGTTTTTTTTTTCAATTTAATTTTTTTTTAAAATGACATAATAACTATTTAAATTTATATATTCATCAAATTCAAAAATTAGATGCAACCTTTAGAAGTTTTTTTTTTTTTTGAAGGTTTATAATGCTGTATATTAATGAATAAACTGAATGATAGAGTCAGGAGGGACAGAGTCCCAGTACATAGAATGATCCTGATCGAACGCTAACGAAGCTAAAGTATGGGCATGTAAATTTAAATTTCTAGAAACATAATTTAAAGAATATTTTGCAAATAGCGATATAGCGGTCCTACATTGGTCGATGATGATCCCAAGGTAAGAGTAGTTAGCCGTACGACTTGAGTATAGATAATTCCGAAATTCCAAGCAATCCGTTAATATGTCCACCTCCGTAATATCCCGATTTTTAAGCCAAGATAGTACCTCCTTGCTAGCGAGCGCTTCGGCCATAGTAGTGGAGAGAGCCCCGGAGATCTTTCCACTTGCTGCTGCAATAAACACGCCGTGGTGTGAGATGAGTACTGCTCCATAAGTTGCCTCCCCGGTATGTGATCTGTATCCCGCATCGACGTAACATCGTGGAGCGCTGCCAGGTCCGGCTACGGCTGTCGTGGCGGGCAGTGACGTGGAGACCGTGGGCCGTGATTGGCGATAGGCCTGTACGGCTGCCACCGACTGGCGCCAAGTCTGATTTGGTCTCGGGAGGGCATGCTCCCATACCGCAGTATTTCGGGCACTCCAAATATTGTATAGAATAGCCGCAGCTAGACCACACTGTTCCTCTATCAAGACATTAAAAATCCCCATAAGCCATGTTGACAATGAATTAGTAAGAATATTAGTAACAGGCAATCCCAACAATTCCCATACTAATCTAGAATAATCACACAGTATTAACGCGTGCATGGCGTTTTCTTGCGTTACACGGCACATTGGGCAATTCGGCTCAATCTCAACTCGCCTCCTTATTAGATTATCGGTAGTAGGGAGGATATCAGAAACTGCTCTCCACAAAAAAGTCTTCCATTTGGGTGGTATCCTTAATTTCCACAAAGTAACCCATTTATCAAAATCACCTGGGTTATGCTCATAATTCCCTTGAATCTGTCCATAGGCATTTTTAACCGAATATATTCCACTCATTTCCCCCTTCCAATACCATGTGTCCTCATAGTCAGGGCTGACAGGAATCATAGAAATTCGTGCCACATCCTCGGGAATAAATAGATCAGCCAAAATATGAGGGTCCCAGGTATTAGTTTGCTGATCAATCAATCTTGCCACCTGGGCATGTCGCAACTCCTCCGGCATTTCTGTCTGGACTAACGGACTGGGATTATCCGGTAACCAGGGATGACCCCATATTAAAGTTTTTTCACCATTCCCTATCCGCCTTCTCACCCCTGAACAAACCATTCCATGCGCAGCCATTATACTCCTCCAGCAAAAACTTGGGCAATTCCCTATAGTAGCATCAACAAAAGTAGTATTCGGATAATACCTGGCTTTATAGATCTTCGCTGCTAAAGTATTGGGATTTATGAGAAAACGCCATGCCTGTTTTCCCAACATAGCCAAGTTAAAAGCCCGTAAATCCTTAAATCCCAATCCCCCATATTTGTTAGGGATACACAACTTATCCCAAGCTTTCCAATGTATTTTCCTTTCAGTCCCTGACCCCCACCAGTATCTATTCATGGTTCTCTCAATAGATGTGCACACTGTCTCAGGTAACAAAAAAACACTCATAGAAAAGGTTGGCATAGATTGAGCCACACTTTTTAAGAGCACCTCCTTACCAGCCTGAGTAAGCAGCTTTTTACTCCATGAACCAATCCTTTGTCTGATCTTGTCCTCCACATAGGAAAAAACAGCTCTCTTATTTCTGCCTACAAATGACGGGAGCCCCAAATATTTTCCAAAATTCGTCGCCTGGTTGACTCCTAAACACGCCGCCACTTCCCACCTTATTTCTTCCTGGGTATTCCTGCTAAAACATATATTAGATTTATCATAATTAACCTTTTGACCAGACAACTTTTCATACTGGCGCAAGCACCGTTTGATCACACCTGCCTCCTCCATATTTGCTTTAAAAAATAGTAGACTATCATCCGCGAAAAATAGATGGGAAACGGGGGGTGCACCTCTCGCCACCCTACAGCCATGTATTTCTCCATCCTTCGGTGCTTTCTGTAATAGCATGGAAAGACCCTCTGCACATATGATAAACAAATAGGGAGATAGGGGATCTCCTTGCCTGAGCCCGCGGGTCGGCATTACCTGTCCACCAGCGGCTCCATTGACCATAATCGTATATCTCACAGTTGTGACACAATGCATAATCAGATTCACCCACCGCTGATTAAAACCCATAGCACATAGCATTCTTTCCAAGAACGACCATTCCATCCTGTCGTATGCCTTTGACATGTCAAGTTTAGGGCACTCCATCCTGTTAGACCAGACTGCTTTCTATTCAAGTAATGGCCCACCTCTGCCGCAGCAAGAATATTATCCGTGATCAGACGCCCTGGAATAAACGCACTCTGGGACTCCGATATTAGATCCCCCATAAATGGTTTCATCCTATTCGTTATCATCTTGGCCATTACCCTGTATATAACATTACTGAGAGCAATCGGCCTCATATCAGCCACCCTTTCCGGTACGTTCTTCTTGGGGATTAAAACAATATTAGTATCATTGAGACCCTATGGGAGATTGCCTGTATTCAAGCAGGTTATTATAAACTCAGACACATCCCCCCTACTACATCCCAGAAGTGCTGATAGAAACCTGGATTCATTCCATCCGGGCCAGGCGCCTTGTCCGGATACATAGAATTTATTGCATCTTTCACATCTTCTGGTCCAAATGGACGCAATAAAGATTCATTCTAACCAACAGTTACTCGCGGCTCAAAATCATCAAACAGAGCATCATCATAGGCAGTATTCTCAGTTTCATAAATTTGTCGAAAATAGTCAAGTATAACAGAGCACATATCATTTCCCTCCACCCATATACCATCATTATTCAAAATTCTATTCACAGTATTCCTTTTTTTACGAGCAGAAGCATACCTGTGATAGAATCTTGTATTCGCATCCGCACCACGAAGCCAGTGTTGCTTCGCTCTCTGTCTCTAGAACACATCCTCCTGCGCCTCCAGCTGGGCTAAGAGCACATCAATGTGATGAAACTCGGCTAGTGCAGTCGGGTCCCTCCTATTCCTGATAACACCCTGCCTCTTCTTCAACTGCCCTATTCGCTCCCCAAACTTATGAAAACTCTCACCACCCCACTTCATCAGCCTTTCCCCACACCGCTGCTGACAATTCAGCAATCCCTCAACCCTCCCCCCTTCCCATGCCTCTGCCACCACCTCCCTACACCCCTGATCTTGCAACCATGCCATCTCAAACCTAAAACCCCGCGCAACCCTTCCCCCACGTACGCATGGCGCGTCCACACTAAGGAAGAGAGCCGTGTGATCCGAGGGTCGAGCTATAATATTATCCACCTCCGCATTGTCATTTAGCCCACACCAATCAGTTGTTGCTAAAACCTTGTCGAGCCTTTCCTCAATCCAATTCTCCGTTCCCTTACTTTTTTCCCAAGTAAACTGGTGGCCCCTCATAGGTAACTACATTAAACCACAAGCATCCAGAGTCTCACCAAAGCCTCGTAAGAGATAATTCGGGTATGGATTCCCCCCTCTCTTCTCGTGCTGGAACAGTAGATTATTAAGGTCCCCAATAACCACCCATGGCAACAAAGATCTAGCCTTCAAACTCTGTAACAAATCCCAGGACTCCCATCTCCTACCACGATCAGAATGTCCATAAAAGCATGTCATTCGCCATTGTTTCCCGTTCTGAGCCCTTACCTCCACATCAACATGATTCGTAGAATAACTCAACAATGTTGCCAAATTATTCTTCCTCCAAAACAGAGCCATACCACCATACAAACCATCATTATCCACATAAAACAAACCCTCGTATCCAAGTGTGACACGGAGCCTTTCTGCATGTATCCGTGCCACCATAGTCTCCATTAGAAATACAAACTCAGGCTTCTTATGGGACACAATGTCCACCACCTGTCGAACTATTCGTGGATTGCCCAAGCCACGACAGTTCCAGCTGAGCGTACTCATGAGGACGGGCGGGGCTGAATAGTAGCTCCCGCCATACACAAGTTTTTTGAAACATCGTTCATTGCTACATCCCCATCCTCCGATCCAACACATCCTTGTTGCCCCTCCCTGCGGCGTTTCCCAGTTGCCACCACCTCACCACCCCTCGGCATGGCACTACCCGAACCCCCACCACCCCTACGGCCTTCGACCGGCCTCCCTCCATCCCCCTCGTCACTCTCCGGCTCAGACATCGGCATCGGCAACGGTTTCCCCCCAACCGGTATAAGCCAACTCTCGCCAACCCCTCTTGCCGAACCCCGATTGCCTCCTGCCCTCAACTCAGCACCGTACGAGAGCTTGTCCACCGGCACCCGACTCTCCCGGGCCTTCAAGCAGAAAGTGTGGACATGCCCCATGAGTCCACAGAAGAAACAAAATTTGTGGAGTCGTTCATATTTAAAAAAAACCCAACATGTAGTCTTGTCTCCTTTAAGGAGCTTCATACCCCTCCTCAATGGCTTGTTTACCGCAATCGAAACCCGAATACGATAAAAAGTTATCCATGGAGCCCCAACAAATCGGTCATCATGCTTAACGAACTTGCCAATAAAATTACCTGCTTGTTCAAGAACTTTCTGCGACGTATAACCCATCGGTAAATCATGCAACTGAACCCACATATCTACCGTATCCAACGGCACATCACCCGGGCTCATCCCCCCCACAACTTCTCGACAAACAAGCGTGTTATTCTCAAACGCCCATGGCCCCCCATCCAACACGTACTCAACATCCGTGTCATGATAAAACACAAACAAGAAAAGCCCCGGTTGAATCTCAGTTACCTGAACCCCTCGTACCGGTTGCCACACGGATGCCATAACCTGTCGCATAAACTCAAGCTTGATTGCCTTTGCCGTGAGAAACCGGCCTACAATAGCCCACAATTTCTCCCCGTCCACCTCGACCTCCCCTACATCATCACCGGCCGGGGCAAACTCCTCCGCCTCTCCCTCCACGGCCATCTCCGCCCAACTCACCGTCAACTTATCCACTGCCTCCGCTGAAACTGCTTGCGCTGCCCCCCCAACGTCGGAGTCGTCCATTACTGCTAGTAAACGCCGGCGATCGCCGGATAAAGGAGAAGAAAACGGTCGGAAAACCCTAGAAACCCTAGAGAAGGTGAGAAAACCCTAGGAGCCCTAAAGAGAGATTTTAATAAATAAGTGTTAATAAAATTTACCTTTAGAAGTTATTATTTCATGTATAAATAAATTTTGAAATCTATTTAATATAACAACCAATTCAATATTATAAAAGAAAAACATATTCCACGATGAATTTTCATGATTCATGTTTGATTTCATTGTTCTTTTAAAACATTATCAACAATAAGTTAAATTTTATGCCGTGCATCGCACGGGGGCAAATATATTGAAAAGATGGCACTAGCTAACAACATCATGAGAGTCCTAATATAAAACTATATTTTTAATATGATTGTATATATTTGACCCGATTGAATAGTTTTAAGTCGAAGATACTCAAATCTATGGCAAGGATGCCGATCCCGGGGTCGGCCTAGGAGCGTTGGGTTACGGTTCAAGCCAACATATGAGGTCGGAGAAATGTGGTCAATTAATATCCGTTACAACTGTTATAACCGTTACGAGTTCTCACTCTATTTGGGAAGCATCTGAGTCATTATGTGCGGTATTGAAGTATGTAGCCATTAAAACTTATCCTTAATTATATAATTAGACATACTTATTACGTACTAAAAATGAGTTGAACCTAATTACTTAAAAAAAATGAGTCGAACCTAATTACTTTAAAAATATTATAAATAATGTCTTTTCATACAAAGAAAATAAGAATGATATTTCAAATTATATAAAGTTTAATTTTGTTGTATAGAGTGTCATCCATTGCTTCATCCTGTCCTGCAAAAGTTTACTTTCTTAAGAGGTCATAGAAAGAGAAAATGGGAAAGATGAGAAAAAAGAAAAAAAAAAACTGAAAAGTAAAATAAATAATAAATATTAATGTTTGATTACATTTAATGAGGTGGTGCAAATAGCACTTTAATATTTACACCACCTATAAAACTATTACACCTATTAAATAAGTGGTGTAAATAGCACATAGGGATGCAAATAGAATTTTCCTTACATAATTTGTATCGGCCCATGTGATTTCCATTGATGAATTGGTGCCCATTGAATTATATTTTTTTGTACACGAGCGAAAAGAAGTCGCCATTTTTTTCAAGGTAATACCCATACAAATAAATGCCAGTACATCAATATGATGTACTGGTTCTCCAAAATAAGAAAAAAAATCAAAACATATGGGTCCTGTTTGGTAAAAAATTAGTTTATAGGCTAATTTTAACTTATTTGACCACTATTAATTGTTGATTTAGTTAAAATCTCTATATAAATGTTTGGTTAATTAGATTTTTGCAACACCAAAAGGCTAAAATTCAAAAAGTTACTCCAAGCAACTATTTCAATTAGCTTTCTGAGAAAAGAAATTATACCAAACAACTATCAGCTAATAGTTAAATTACCAAACACTTTTCTACAATCAGCTAATGTTTATCAACTATTTATACCCTCTAATTAACACCATCTAAGAGCTGACAGCTATCAACTATCAGCTAACAGTCATTTTGCCAAACAGGACCATGATTTTTATTTCTAAATTTGTCTACATAGCATTATTCAATTTCAAATGTGAAAAAATATTAATGAAGTTTTTGTGTATCTTTTCGTGGACCTTTCTGTTTCTTATCCACGCACGTGCATCAGAAGACAAGAATCAACAGTATAAAGAAGAGTCGGACTGATCACCTCACTCGGCATTGGCTCAAGACCCTGCGTTCTTAGAACTCCAAATATCAGATTAGGGAAGGGCAACCGTACCTTCTGCTCTCGAGGATGGATCAAAGTGAGGATATGATAATAGATCCAGGACCCCAAATCAATAGACATTTTTGTTCCAATCCGAAACAAGAGAGCTACCAATTGCTTGCCGACCGTATGAAAATGAGCCGATGGAAGCCTGTTGTGAAGAGAAAGACGGTGCAAGATGACATATTTGGAGGTGAGCTGTGAGCTAGGTAGATAATCTTTTTCACCAGTAGGCCATGTATCAGTTTGTCCACCTGTGAGGGTCTTTGCCACCAAATCCCAGTCCTTGATTTCTTCCACGTGCAGTCCTTTCAGATCATAATACTCATTTATCATGTCAGGGTCGAAGACATACAATTTACCTCGAATGAAGATTTGCACTGGTCGCGTCCCGGTCAAATTGTCAATCTCCTCATTAAGGTTACAGTAGAACTCGTAGGTCAGAAGTTTCGAATAAGGACAAATGGAGGAGACAGTCTTCAACAAGCCCACTTCACTCAGCAAAGGCAAGATGTCGCAAACAAAGTTCAACTGGTGTTCATCAACAGACCGCTGAACAATAAGATCTCTCCGGGTCATTGTGGACCATTTTCCCTGAGCAGTAGAGGAGGCAAACTGAGGTCTATAGATAGATGTATCAGGATTCACATCAGTATGTTGAACCTCAGGCGTAATACTTCGTCATCTGGAGCGAGTATTTGGTTTCCCCTTCCGGGTAGAAGATGTGGGAACCACAGCAGGAGCTTTTTGCTTGACATATGACCACAGGATTTTGAACACTTGTTGAACAGGAGGATTAGTTTCATTATGGACAGACTCATCAGACATTCTCTTCTTCTCAGGTTGAGCCACATCAAGATTGTCATCACCAGATTCCACAACCACTTTCACTGGGGCACTCTTCCGTTTAGATTTTCTCGTCTCTTTGGATGGGGAATGAGCAGAAGGGCTTGGAGACACAGAGTGACTTGTCTCAGAAACTTGGGCAGACGAACCTCCAAGCAGACTGGTAACTTCTTGAATCTTGAAGGTGGTTGAATCAGGATGCGTAGTAGCCTCAACTGAAGGAGGTTTAGACACATGGGCTTGTGAGCCATATACTTCAACAAGAATCTTCTCATCTTCACTAGAGGACTCAGTAGGATGAATCACACGATATGGTTCTGGAATAGAAGCAGCGGGTAAACCTGCAAAGTGCCGGACATGTTCAAGGCTCTCAGCCAACGTTGAAGGAGTGTAGACTGGTACCCCATCTATTTGACCAGAAGCATGGGGACTAGAGATACTGGTAGCCTCAATTTCAGCGGGAAAGCTGGAGGGATTCTCAGACGGACAGACTTCTCTTGGAGACACAGCAATTTCAGTAGAGGACAGATCAACTTTTTCAGCAGAGTAAACAACCAAACTAAGATTGTTGGCCAAATCGGAGGATTTATCTTTCTCATCAGAAGCTTCATCAACAACATCTTTCAGAAGATCAGATTTTTTAGAGGGGATACAGGGGGGATCATCAGACACAGAGGATCTCACAGATAATAAAGCATTCACAGAATCAGTTTCAATAATAGGCACAGTGGTCGGAATAGCAGCAGAGACTAAATCATCAGGCTTATCAGGAGAGATTTCGATAGGAGATTCAGAAGTGTTTGACCTGTTACGAAGAATCTCTAACCGATGTTTGGTTTCGTCCTGGGCAGCTTGTAGATAGAGGGGTTGAGATGCTACTCGACGACGGGAGACCTCGTCTGATTCAAGAGCCCTTTGTGCAAAGAATTGGAGGAATACCCCGGCACGATTCTTTTCTGCGGGCTCTGGAATGGAAGATGGGCTAACCTCATCACTCGCTTCGGAGGCCAGCAACAAGAGCTCACTGGTATCTTCCTCCGACCAGTCTGCGTAAAACTCCAGATAATCGGAAAGCACCGTGACCATGATTTCATCCCGTAGAATAGGATCAAGCTTCAACTTCTTCTTCATAGCTAACTGGAGCAGTGTTTTCACATGCTTAATGGCTGTTTCTGGTGAATGAACCTTTCTCTCAAGCTTGATGATGATATTTCGTACAACGTCTGCCATTTATAAGCAATTTGGGTATGCAAGAAGGTAAACCCTAGGTAGAAGAGCAGAGAGAAATCAGTGAGTATAGATATGTTGAACTCTTCTTCCTTTCAAGCTTGACCCGATACACATATATAATCCCAAGGGAGAAGAACCCTATTCAATGCGGTTTGTCAGATTACATGCAGAGCTGATGTGATTGACGCAACGGTATACCTCCTTTTTAGGAATGAAACGGAGGAGTTGTAGATTTGAAATTCGAAAAAAAGGCTAATTACTTTATGGTAACTTAGGTTAAGATATTCTCTTAACAAAACATAAGGGAGTTTTAAAAGGAAGTCAAAGGCTGAAATTTGACCCATAAAAATAACACCATGTACTCTCCTTCTGTGTAACTTACTGCCTTATTAATCAATCTTGCGGATTCCCAGAGCGGATCTGAGAATCTCAAATCGATTTGCATCTAGAGGCTTAGTCAGAATGTCAGCCAAGTGCTTATCAGTTTGAATGTATTCCAACTCTATCTCCTTGGACTCTACAAAGTCTCTGATGTAGTGATGCGTTATATCAATATGCTCCGTTCTAGAATGTTGAACTGGATTCTTCGAGATATTTATTGCACTGACATTATCACAGTAGAGTGTCATAATTCTTTGAGTAAGCCCATAGTCCAGAAGCATCTGTTTCATCCAAACCAACTGAGTGCAACATCCGCCAGCGGCTATATATTCTGCCTCTGCAGTACTTAAGGAAATTGAATTTTATTTCTTGCTCAGCCATGATACCAAATTCTTACCAATAAAGAAGCATCCACCCGAAGTACTCTTTCTGTCATCAATATTTCCTGCCCAATCAGCATCACAGTATGCAACCAGACTAAGTTCACTGTCCTTGGAGTACCATAGCCCATATTGAATTGTTCCTTTAATATATTTCAAAATTCGTTTAGCAGTTATCAGGTGTGATTCTTTTGGATTAGATTGATACCTTGCACATATTCCAACACTTAACATTATGTCTGGCCGACTAGCGGTTAAGTACAACAGACTTCCTATCAGACTTCGGTAGACTGTGTTATCCACTGATGCACCAGTGTCATCTTTTGATACTTTCGTGGAGGTAGAAATAGGTGT